GGGGGGGGGGGGTTAACTCCTTAGGGGCCAGATGTGACCTGTGGGCCACCAGCTGGACAGCCCTGCTCTCAGACAAAAACAAAGCACAACGGCAACCCCATACTGTCTGGTTCTCACTTTCTTTCTTGCCCGATGTTGATGCCAATAGGCTTTTACTGAAGTGTCTACTTGAATCTGCAGCTCAGCAACCTGTTCTTGGAAGGAGACAAGTTCCTGCTGAAGGTGTTGCTGGAGAATCACATTCTGGTGTCTCAAAAGAACAATGAGCAGGTATCAGGAAATGTCATTTCAGACTATAAAGTTACACAGAACATGTATTACACTCCCCAAACCTCAATAGCACAGAGAGGGGCAGGGAGAAGATGCTTCAGCACATGCATGGAGGAAGAGAGATGATCTAGTTCCAAAGTTTGATGCACTTATATCAAGGGGAATCCAATCTGAGGTCCCAGAGCTTGTTCTTTTATTTTGAAGGAGTTCCAAAGTACATGGCAGAGCACCTCTACCAAGGACCACAAAGCTGGTAGTCTACATAAAGTCTTCCCTTATGCCCCAGTCCTCTCCCAGGCCATCTTCTTCACTGCAGATTCATGGAAAGAGCTGTCTACAGAGAAAGCATAAGTCTCTTTTATCCTGGGCTATCATTCAGGTATCCGAATGCCACGTAGATGAGCCCACTGAATCTCTCTTTCCCCTCTGCAGCAGCACGGCTGTTGCCACAATCAAGTCTCAAATCGAGAAACACAAACTGAATGGAGCTGACCTCAGCCAGAGATCATCTCTCCCTGGGCCATACAAAAACAGCTGAGCAAGAGATCTTAACCAGTAGCAGTAAGCAAAGCCCTTCAAGGAATCCCTTTTACCTCAGCTTCAACTGCATCTGCTGTTTGCTGGCCTCTAAGTGCAAGTGAAAGCCATGCCCAATTGCTATTAAAGAAATAGAAGCTAGGTTAGTGGTTTCCTGTCTGTCAGCAGGTAGATATGTAGCATACAGTTATGCAGCTGTGCAAAATATTGCTCATGTTCTAAATTTATGAACTACAACATTCAAAGAATATTTGTTTTAGATGGATAAGAGTGCTCTGAAACGTACCTGAGACAGTGCACAAAATCTTCAATCTTTTAATTCTTTTACAGCAAACCAAAAAAACAATAACATCAGCCCCTAAAGTCATATTAATCTATTAATGAAGTATACCCATAACTGTAAAAAAGGATTTAAAATTAAAATGAAGCCATAGTTGCCCAAACCAAGAATTTTGGGGCTGATATTCACCAGAGATAAAACATTCAGTCTTGACACAGCCCAGCTCACAACTTGTGACTAAACTAGAGCACATTTTTTAGCAGTATATCCAGTCTTGAATTAAAGACTTCAGATAATGGAGAAGAATACATAACACACCTCAGCAAATTGTTTAAAAAATTAATTATTCTGGCTGTTAAAAAAAAATGCATGCCTCATTCCTAGCCTGAGTTTATCAGCTTCCAGCCTCTGGGTCCTGTTACAACTGCCTGCTAAATTAAAGAAACTTCTACTGTTAGAAGTCGTCTCCATATTACACTTACTTATAAATAGATCATTATTAAGCCAACTCTTGATGTTCACTTTGATAAATAAATAGACTAAGCTTTTCAAGTCATTCACTGCAAGGCTAGTTTTCTGGACTTAAAACCAGTCCTGTAGTTCATTGGAGACCCTTATCCCCTGCAGCTCATTGGAGACCCTTGCTCTCTACATCCCTTTTTTGGAACAGCAGACATCAGAAATAGACATAGTATTCCAATAATAGCCTCACCAATGCTTAATGTAGAAATAATCTCTCAGGTGTCACTTTATATTCCCCTACTTATAAATCCAAACCCAATGAAGTGCAATGTACAGTTATCCTGTCCCCCATGTTAACTGTCTTTTTCAAAGCATCGCACAAAGCTGCACGCACTTGGTTACTTATACGGCCTTGTACACATGGGTGACTGGTGCCTCCTGAGTCTGGAGGGGCACCAGATCGCTGACGGGGGGGTCCCCCAGCAGCCTATCACCAGCTGGGGGAGGGTCTGCACAGGCCAATCACTGATGGGGGGTGGGGGGGTCCCCCAGCAGCCGATCACCGAGCCAGCAGAGAAACCAGAAGTGTGCACTTCCACCAACTGGCGCTTCCAGGGGATACACAGCCAATCTCAGGGGGTGCACATGCACCCATGTGCACCCCCTATGTATCACCAATGCTTGTAGAGGCATTTGGTTCCTCCTGGGAAAGAAACCACAAGTGTACAGATGTTCAGGTTTTTTCTCCCAGAATTCTCTCCTGGGACAGCATATGTCTGTACATGTTGTGACTTCTGTCAGAAAAGAACATAGTCCCCCAGCATCTCTTCCTCCCCACCCCCACCTGTGCCTCCCCAGGGATACAATTTGTCCTTTGCTGAACTCTGCTGCTCCAACAGGGAGCAGAACATGCCCCCTTTACAATTTCCACATTGTTCTACAAGACGATGTAGGCTGAGCATGGGCAATCAGGGTCAGGCAATCAGGGCTGCCTTATGCATTGCTGCCATCTGTCACCAGGCAAACTAAGGGAGCCTGCAGAGCACACTGAGATGCATGCACAGCTGGCCTTGCAGCATCAGCACTGCATGCTCCCCATTTTTCAGGGCCTTGGAATATGAATGCCTCTAGACTCAGCTTTGGGTAAGTTTTTCTAGCAGGAGAATTCTCCCAGATGATTTCAATGTTTGCAAAGCCCTAGTTTGCTTATTCAGATGTCATAATGACCTAAAGTTACCAACACCTGTCAGCTGACCAATTGACCAGATTTTAGTGGGCAAATATCCCTATTAGAAAAAACAATCAACAAATATCCAAGAACTGTACTGACCAGAGAGGTTAGCGTACGCTCTCACTAGAA